AGCATGGCTGGCTAGGGAATTTTGGGAGTTGAAGTCCACACATCTTAAAGTTGCGAAGGGTGAGAAACACTGCTCTACACCCTTAGCAAAAAAAAAAAAAGCTTTCAGAGCCACTTACAGCCTATTAATAGGGGGCTGAGGGAAGACAGCTCAAAAGCTTATGGTCTAAAAGAATCCATATGAAAGGAAAGAAGAATGAGGAGGGGAAAGGAAAACAAACAAGAGGCCTACAATGTTTGTGTAGCTGCTGTGGTTGTTAACAAAAGGTTAAGAATAGGAACCCAATGGATGGAAGACCACCAGGAAACCCCAAAGGAAGGCAGTCATCTTAGCAGAAGAGATAGAGCCCCCTCCCTCTCCCAGCAATGGCGATTAACGTCTGTCACCTACCCGCTCCTGCAACGGACTCTCCTTCTCCTCCTCACCAAAATAGACCTCATAAGCCAGCATGGAGGCCATCAGGGGAGCGCAGGCCAACTGGCGAGAGGGGGGCTCCCAACAGTGAAATGCCTGCGGAGAAGAAAACTGCTCCATTATCTGGCGGAGGAGAGAAAGTGAAGGACGGACGAGGAAAACAAGCAGAGCCTCTTACCTCCAGGAGGATCTGCAACACCTCCGGCTGGTGGGCCCCGTGTTTCCGGCAGGCCCCCAGGAGCGCCGTGACAATGCCGAGATGCTCCTGGGCCATGATTTCCTCCACACCTGGGCCCAGCTCCTGAAACAGCTGCCCCAGCTGGGGACAGGGTGTGAATGAGAGGAGGCCTTTCTTCTAGGCTCCCCTCCCCTCGTCCAGGCCACTACACTAGGGGTCTGTTTTAGAGATCATCAGCTGATACCTGGCAGCCTTGGGGACAATATATTGCATAAGGCCCCTTTCACTGGGGGGAACCGAGATCTTCCCTCCGTCCTTTCCCGCAGGAAAAAAAGAGGGAGAGAAAACCTTCTTCAGTTAAACTGAGCGCCTGGAAACTTTAGGGGCACGGCAGTGCTGTTTTCTTGGAAGCAAGACAGAGGCAATTTGCTTCCATGACCAGGGTTCTGGAGTCGGCACATAAAACCTTCAACTCCGATTCCGACTCCAACTCCTTTATTCATGGAACCTCCAACTCCGACTCCTTTAATTATACATTGATACAGGAAATAAATTATAAATATACTAATTATATATTTCCTGTATCGATTGCAAGCACGCAACATACAAGGCATTAAAATTAAAATATGCCCTGAAAAAAATAGGTTAATCAAATTATTATCTATGCAATAGGAAATGTTAACATATTATTCATATCATACACAATTTAGATTTATTAGGAGTCGGAGTCGGTACATTTTTACCAACTCCGACTCCAGCAACCCAAGAATTGGTTCCGATTCTGACTCCGCAGCCCTGTCCGTGACTTCCCAGGCCAGCCCGCAGGCAAGGTGTTTCCTGCTGCTCTCCCATCCAAATCCTAACCAGGTCTGGCCCTGCTTAGCTTTTCAAGATCAACCAAAGGGGCAGGTTCTCCTGACCTCAGGGTCCCCGCGACAACACCCCGATTTAAGCCAACTGTGAGGCAACCCCAGGGCCCTCTCTTACCAGTTTGCGGGAAGCTGTCTGGATGAGCCGCTGCAAGGTGAAATTGGCCACCTTGTGGGCGGACAACACACGGAGCTGCCCCTTCACGTGAGCCTTGTAGAAGGAGCGCAACGCCTTCGCGTCCGACACCTCCAGAACTTTGTCTAGCACCCGGCTGCAGGTCGCATCCTTCAGAAACACCAGGAGGCTGCTAAACGGGGAGGAAGAAGCAAGACGGGAGCACAGAGTTGCTTTTGGCAAGATGGGCGGCCATGTAAATGGGATTAATAAATAAATAAATAAATAAATTACTGCACCTGCGCCCGGCCACGCACAGGCGCACATGCCGGAAAACTCCAAAACGAACTCAGAAAAAAACCAGCTAAGGGCACTAACGTTTCATAAGGAAAGGTCTAGCTGGCCTCGAGAAGGAAATCGAGTCCCGGGAGAAAGGAAGAAAAGTTCTGCTGTTTCATGTCATAGGGAGTTATATCTCCATGCAGTAGATGACTTATTTTTCTCCCCACAAAACCACCGTGTGAGGAAGGTGCGACTGTGAAAGAGCGACGGATCCCAACAACCAGTCAAGTTCTAATGCTAATTAGTGTCTAGAATGTGGGTCTCTCTAGTTCAGTGTTTCTCAACCTTGGTCACTTTAAGACAGGTGGAATTTAAATCCCCAAAATTCCCCAGCCAAAATTGTTGGGTGGGGAATTTCTGGGAGTTGAAGTCCACCTGTCTTAAAGCGGCCACGGTTGAGGAACACTGCCCTAGTCCAACACCGCTACACCACACTAACTGGTGTGCCTTTAATTTGGAAACCAACAGCATAACCAACACAGAGCTTTCTCGTGGAAAGTCCGTGAGCAGAAGCAGCCAAGAACTTTGCGGTGCAAGAGCAAGACTCCTCCCACCATCCCAACCCCCCACGCCTCCCAGCCAATCCGACTGCTTACCTTTGCCCAGCAGCCGGGTTGCAGCCGCTCAGGTAGCCAATCACCGCCCGGCAGAGCTCAGCGCAATCTTCAGGCAGCTTCCTGTGCAGGACCTCCAGCGCCACCTGGAGGCAGAGGCTGAAACATTTGTGGGTAATGAAATCTAGAGAGAGAAGAGGCTCGTTTAACAGCGGGGATCTTGGCTGTTAAGTCAGGCGGGGAAGGAGGATCCAGCCGTACAAATGCACAGCCTTTCCTGAACGCATCTCACGCTGGTCCTCTTCCATTCCCACGCGTGTTCATTGGGAGAGCTGTGCGAGGCTGCTGTTCCCACACCTGCCCACCAGATGGCAGCAACCCACCTGCAATGCATTCCTGGAAGCAGCCTTTGAATTCCCGCAGGAGGGAGACGAAGCTCTCCGGGACCTCAAATGCCGCTGGTCCTTCACTCCCCACCTTCGATTTCTTGGCCTTGGAACGAAGAGGCCCTAAGGAGGGTGGAAAGGGATGGAAAGGGGGAAGGAGTGCATTAGAGGCATTGCTTTTCCTGCAAGGGAAAGATTCGTGCAGAACCTCTCGCTGCAAACACCCGACAGGATATGACATTAAAGGCCGGGCCACCAGCTGAAGTTACAGGGACCGTAAAGGACAGTCCTTTACTCCAAAAAGCTGCCTTTAGATTCATTTCTTTTTCAAACACTCGCTTCTGTCCTTTAATTTTGGTCCTTTAACTTTTACCCTACAAACGGTAGCACTTCATGCACAGTCTTTCACATTCGTGGGAAAAAATACGGAAATCGGATGGTCTTTGTTACGTAAATTTACACACACAGTTTGTTTTTAGATATTTTTTATTAAAATACACGTTTTGGTAACGTTTTCCTTGGTTTTGTTCTTGAGTTTTCCTTCGCAAAGCAAAGCGATAAACATAAACATCTTTTTTTTAATCTTTATAACCCTCTTTTAGAGTTGCCCATTTCAGGTTTCACTGTAGCATGAAAAATTCCCCCCAATTCAGGAACTCATCTCCTCTCCTCCGGGCCCATGAAGGCTCCCAAAAGGCAGAGAAACCATCAAGTGTGCTACTCTTCTCCAATTCTATTAGGGCTTCTCCCCACTGGCAATGAGGGGGAAGCACAATATTTTATCGCTTTGTTATAATTTCATCCCACTTTCCCTCCAGGAACTCAAGGTGACATCCCGGGCACCCTGTCCTGATTCCACCCCCCAAAAAACAGCCCTGTGTGGTAGGTGGGCTGAGAAGAAGGGACTGATCCAGCGTCACCCAGGTCTCCCCGTTCTCACCCCATTCCCGCACTTGTTCTGAACATACAGCAAGTTCTGAGATGCTGGAAAGAGGGTTGTGGGTTTCACCCTCCGCCCATCACATGATAGGGCACATGTTCAATGGCCACTACTCACCTGACCCCGGGAGCCCCCGGCCCCCATCCGACCCGACTCGGGCCCCTCCAAGCGCCTGCAGGAGGGTCCGCACCACAAAGCTGGCGTGAGCATCCAAGGCAAAGGTGGGCAGTTCCTCTTGCAGGCTCTTTCCCAGTTGCAGGACGAGGTCCTCCAGGGCTCCAGCCTCCTCGCCTCCTTCCAAGATCAGCAGCGGGGCCCTCCATAGGGCCTCTTCCAAGATGTGGGCCCCACAGGGGTGGCAAGCAACCAGGCACAGGGAGGGGACCAGGCCCCGGAGCAGAGGAGCCAAGCTGGGCGCAGAGGCAGAAGGAAGCAGGGCCTGGAGGAGCAGAGAACCCGAGGGATCCAGGGCTAACGGCAACGCCACGGCCACGGCCTCCTCCAGGACGTTGCTAACAAACAGACCTGTGGGGCCGAAGGGAAAAGGAGGCGACGCACATTACCACCTAGTGCAGTGTTTCTCAACCTTGGCCACTTTAAGCTGTGT